GGGGGGACAGTGTAAAGGGAGCTTTATTCTGTATCTAACCCCGTGCTGTCCCTGTCCTGGGAGTGTTTGATGGGGGGACAGTGTAGAGGGAGCTTTACTCTGTATCTAACCCCGTGCTGTCCCTGTCCTGGGAGTGTTTGATGGGGGGGACAGTGTGAATGATTTGAATAACATATCTCCGTAAACAACAAGTGGCAAACATTTCTGTAACCCCCTTAACATCAGAAAGCACTCCAAAGAAATGTAATAAAAGCAAGTTTGTTCACAAATTAAAGCAAACAGACCATATCTCACATATAACACAGTCTGGAGCTGGATGAACACAGCAGGCCAGGCAGCATCAGAGGAGCAGGAACGCTGATGTTTCGGGTCGGGAACCTTCTTCAGAAATGGGGTCCCCACCCGAAAAGGGGTCCCGACCCGAAACGTCAGCTTTCCTGTTCCTCTGATGCTGCCTGGCCCCGCTGTGTTCCTCCAGCTCCACACTGTGTTATCTCCGACTCCACTATCAGCAGTTCCTGCTATCTCTGGGACCATATCTCAGTTGAAAAAGACCACAGTGAATGATGTTGGTTTTAAGAAGCACCTTAAATGGGAGTCTGAGTGCGATTTGAAGAGGGGCAGGCAGGTTTTGGAGAAGATTGAGGTTGTTGGGAAGCTGAAGGACCAACGGGAGAGGGATGGAAACTGTGAGGGAGGGCGATACCGGAAGGATTTGGAAGTAATGATAAAGGATTTGAACTTCAGGTGTTGCATCAACAAACACCAATTTCGATCAGCGAACAGAATACGAGGCACTGCAACAGACAAGTTGCGTCATGGGCTGTGGACATCATTGGTGAAGCCAACCCCTGGAATACTCTGTGTGCAGTTTGGGGTCGCCTTACCTCAGGAAGGAGGGTTCTGGAGATGGAGGGAGGGCAGGGAAGTTTTCCCAGTCTGATTCCTGGGATGGCAGGGCTGACGGATGAAGAGAGACTTCTCCATTCACTGGAGATAAGAAGAATGTGAGGTTGGGGATGGGCTAGATCTCATAGAAACAGATTAATGTCCAACAGGACTTGAGAGGGTCAATATGAGAAGGATGTTCCCCATGACTGGGAGAGTCCGGAACTGGGAGAGGTGGGGGGATGGTCCAAGGAGACTGGGTAGGACTGAGATGAGGAGAAATATCTTCGCCCAGAATTCTCTGCCACAGAAAGCAGTTGAGGCCAAAACATTGAATAGGTTTCCGAAGGGGTTAGAGATAGTTGTTGGGGCTAAAGAGATCGAAGGGAATGGGGGATTGAGTTGGATGATCAATGAATGGTAGAGTAGTCTTGAAGGGCTGAATGGTCTACTCCTATTTTCTACGTTTCTATGTTTGGACATGACATTTTGGCAACGTCAATGTCCCTTAGGGAGGGAATTCCAGGATTTTGACCCAGCGACACTGAAGGAATGGCGATATATTTCCAGGGCGACATGGTGGCTCAGTGGTTAGCACAGCTGCCTCACAGTGCCAGGGACCTGGGTTCAATTCCACCCTCGGGCGACTGTCTGTGTGGAGTTTGCACATTCTCCCCGTGTCTGCATGGGTTTCCTCCCACAGTCCAAAGATGTGCAGGTGAGGGGTGGATTGGCCGTGCTAAATTACCCATAGTGCCCAGGGATGTGCGAAATTACCCATAGTGTCCCAGGGTTGTGCAGGTTAGGGTGGATTGGCCGTGCTAAATTACCCATAGTGCCCAGGGATGTGTAGGTTAGGGTGGATTGGCTGTGCTAAATTGTCCCATAGTGTACAGGGATGTGTAGATTAGGCGGGGTTATAGGGTCTGGGTGGGACAGTGCAAGGGTCGGTGTGGACTTGTTGGGCCATAGGGCTTGTTTCCACACAGTAGGGATTCTATTCTACAAATAAAAAAGCCAGGACGGTGAGTGGCTCAGAGGGGAACTTGCAGGGGGTGGTGTTCCCATGTATCTGCTGCCCCTTGTCCTTCTAGATGGAAGTGGCCGTGGGTAAGGAAGGTGCTGCCTGAGGATCTTTGGTGAGTTTCTGCAGTGCATCTTGTAGATGGTACACACTGCTGCGACTGAGCGTCGGTGGGGGGAGGGAGTGGGATGTTTGTGGATGTGGTGCCTATCGAGCGGGGGCTGCTTTGTCCTGGATGGTGTCGAGCCTTTCGAACGGCTAGAGGGAACTGAGAGGGAGGGAGACCCAATTCGCGGATGAGCAAAAGTGGGGGAAGAATGCAAAAGAGATGGATTTGGCCTGAGCGAATGGAAATGGAGTGAAAATCCACAACACGAAAGATGAGCGGACGGTGGGATTACAGGATTGGGGGCAGTGCTGTTTGGAGAGCAAGGTGTAGCAAGTGGTACAAAGGTCATATTATATACAAGTGGTATGATCTGACTCAATCTCGTCTGTTGAGCATAATTTCCTGGAGTATCATGTTCAGTCAGATATCAGTGAGTTCCCAATTGTCAGCATGAACTTTGTGAAAGGCAACATAGGAAGACATAATTAACTCAGATTTGCATATGTTACCACAGACTCAGAGCAGGACCTGGGAGGCCTCGAACGTTTAGCTACAAACAAGCAGCCGGTCTCTCAGCTTCTCAGAAGTGACGAGCGAATGTGGTAACAGTGAGCAGAGTGACGCTGAGAGGGGAAGGGTCAACAGCGAACTCCCCAGCATCTGCACCTAACCCTGTGCTGTCCCTGTCCTGGGAGTGTTTGATGGGGGGACAGTGTAGAAGGAGCTTTACTCTGTATCGAACCCAGTGCTGTCCCTGTCCTGGGAGTGTTTGATGGGGGGACAGTGTAGAAGGAGCTTTACTCTGTATCTAACCCCGTGCTGTCCCTGTCCTGGGAGTGTTTGATGGTGGGACAGTGTAGAAGGAACTTTACTTTGTATCTAACCCCGTGCTGTCCCTGTCCTGGGAGTGTTTGATGGGGACAGTGTAGAAGGAGCTTTACTCTGTATCTAACCCAGTGCTGTCCCTGTCCTGGGAGTGTTTGATGGGGGGGACAGTGTAGAAGGAGCTTTACTCTGTATCTAACCCCGTGCTGTCCCTGTCCCTGGGAGTGTTTGATGGGGGGACAGTGTAGAGGGAGCGTTACTCTGTATCTAAACCCGTGCTGTCCCTGTCCCTGGGAGTGTTTGATGGCGGAACAGTGTAGAGAAAGCTTTACTCTGTATCTAAACCCGTGCTGTCCCTGTCCCTGGGAGTGTTTGATGGGGGCACAGTGCAGAGAGAGCTTTACTCTGTATCGAACACTGTGCTGTCCCTGCCGTGGGAGTGTTTGATGGGGAACAGGGTAAATGGAGCTTTACTCTGTATCTAACCCCGTGCTGTCCCTGTCCCTGGGAGTGTTTGATGGGGGAACAGTGTAGAGGGAGCTTTACTCTGTATCTAACCCCGTGCTGTCCCTGTGCTGGAAGTGTTTGATGGGGGGACAGTGTAGAGAGAGCTTTACTCTGTATCTAACCCCGTGCTGTCCCTGTCCCTGGGAGTGTTTGATGGGGGACAGTGCAGAGGGAGCTTTACTCTGTATCGAACCCCGTGCTGTCCCTGTCCCTGGAAGTCACAATAACATACTCCAAGCTGAGTGTAGCTTTCAGCAGTTGAACACGAACAGCTACACTTGGTCTGAGAGCAAATACATACGAAAAAATTGTTGAGCAAACGCAAGGGGAATTTGGAAGGTATCAAAATTTCAGCAGTGCTGGGCTGCATATTGTGTGGTCAGGACGGCTTGCAATTCAAACAAGGGTCTCAATCTTTGGGGAACTCACAAGCAGTAGGTTGGAAAAACCCGTCTGAGGTTTCACGTGTCTGCCTGCGAAGCCACAGTGAAAGGCAGGAACGTGAGCAATTACACTGTGTCCCATCTCCCTCCCAGGCCCGTGCGAAAACTCTGCTCTCAGGGCCTAACACTGTCAGCAGAAGTACATACACGGGCCAGGCCACCGGACACCAGCTGTCCTCTGAGTCAGATGTCTCTGAGTAAACATCACTCTCAGGAAACATTGTCAAATCTGAAACCACAATGTCACAGCGCTGAGGGAGCGCCACACTGTCGGAGGGTCAGTGCTGAGGGAGCGCCACACTGTCGGAGGGTCAGTGCTGAGGGAGCGCCGCACTGTCGGAGGGTCAGTGCTGAGGGAGCGCCGCACTGTCGGAGGGTCAGTGCTGAGGGAACGCCGCACTGTCGGAGGGTCAGTGCTGAGGGAGCGC